GGAGGAGGAGGAGAGAAAGAAATGAAGAGGAATATCCACACTTTTAGCTATACATTCAGGTCGGAGCTGTTGTTGTTACAGCTGGACATGGTGGTGGCCGTGGTGGCGGTACTGGTTGTGGTGGTGGCAGCAGTGGCGGTGGGATGGCCGTTGATGCCGCTCTTCATGGATTGTGCAGGATTGCTCATTAGGAAGCTGGTGGTGAGGTCAATGGGAAGGGGAAAAATGATGGTCGAGTGGTGCTCGGCCGCGATCCCCGAGAGGGTCTGGAGGTAGCGCAGTTGCAGAGCAACTGGCTTATCGTTTAGCATCAAACTCGCCTCACGCAAGGCTCGTGACGCCTTTCGCTCGCCCTCGGCTTGAATGACCTACAAAGGAAACACATCCAACTACTCACCGTTTTTCACCTCATTTACTAGCCTCCAGACAACTACCCTTTTTGAGACGGAATCAAAGTCGGAGTTTTGCATTTTCCGTGGAATCTGTCATCTTTACAATATTGAGGTTTATTGGCCATCAATAGGAATGCTGCCTTCTTTTCTTGTTTGCGATGTTTTTGAACAATTAAAATAGGCATTACTTCAACTTTCTAACTCTTTGGTCATCTTGAGGGCAGAGTTTTATGTTATGTGCTGTTTAAGAGTAACAAAAAATTCCGCATTTAAATGGAAATGCTTAAATATCACAACCATTCAAGTGTGTAAACTTTGCATTTGGACAAGATGCTCTATACGCCAAAGGAGCTTTCCATTTGAACAGTTTTTCTCATTTTAATCAAAAAACAGCCAACCCCTGCACTATTTACATCTCACTGATTCGGCACAAAAATAAAATTTACAAAATGCATTTAAAATAATTTGCGCAAAACTTTTTCCAAGTTGCAAAAGTGCTTAAAAGGGCTGTAACCTGCTGTTTTCGGGTACTTTGAAGCACGGAGGCAAGTGTGAGAGTTATTTAGGAAACCTAATGCTTCACTCGGACAAAAAATTGTTGTAAATCCTCTACGCCAGATAATTCTTATACTAGTTGATATCAGCACGATAAATTTTTTTTAGTTTGGCCGAGTCCGATTTATGGGCTGATTTGGAGAGCAAACCCCAATAAATTCAAAGCGATTTGACAGCTTGCTTTCTGCCAAAATTTTTGACAATTTTGGTTTTGTGATAGAAAGAAGCTATGAAATCAATCCCGATACGCCTCTTAGTGTTTAAAGGCTCTGTTGTTGGTGATACAAGAAGAAAATCACATAAGGAAGTTTATTTCTGTAGTAGATTTGTCTACACAATAAAAGTTGAAGGTAAACTATTTCTATGTATTCTTCGCTAGGGGATTCACTGATTTAAGCTTAAGCAATCCCGACTTCAATTTCATTAGGTGGAAATGGAACACATCTGCTTAACTTATGACTGTACTTAAAGTGGAATGCAAATAAATCCTCTAATTCTCAAATTTTTTAAGGTCTAATTTACGCTTAAAGAATTTCATTTTTAACAGATTTACAGAGCAAACCTTACAAATGCAATAAATCAGGAATTTCAACTATCATTTCGTGACCTTCGTGAAGGACTTATGATTGACACGGCGAAAGCAAATCTCTCTACTCAAATCAATCGAGTTTGGTTTAGTAGTTTTCAAAAGATGTCCAACCCGCAAAACGGCACATTTGCCCAAAGATTTCTGCAGATCAGTTCCATCACAAAATTTTGGAAGTCAATCACTCGCATACAAGCGAAGGCCACCGCGTCGACTAAGCTGCACGAATCTGCTGTCAGAAAACCCTTAATTGTATCTGGAAGGTAATACTTCCGTCGTTTGGTGACATCGTGAGTGGGTAATCAGCTCGTGTGAAATAGCCAGTGGATGTTCCTTTGTGCCTCAAAGCCGCCCACAATGGGGCAAATATTAACCGTTGAGGTGGAACCCAAACCCTGCATAATTCAAGTTTTCCCGTACCTCAACGGCTACGTTCCTCAAATTCACCTTTTCGAATCTTACTTTCATACATATGTCAACCAAGATTTAGACATATATACAATTTGCGGTCGAGTAACGCACTAAAGAGCCAACGATCACAACTTTACTCATAATTTATAGTGGGTATTTACAGAAAACCAGCCAAAAGTGTCCTTTCGACAAAATATCTCATTTTTGGGTTAGTTAGTTCCATTTGGATCAAGTAGTTGACTCTAAGCCGCGCAAATATGTAAATTCTGAACAAATGTTGCATACAATATGGGTAAAAACAGCAGTTACTTGCGAAGCCAAGAGATGTTAACAACTACAAATCATACTTTGGTTTCATGATAATTTTTATCAAATTTTCCATTTAAATTTAGGATTTAGTCAATATAGTCTCAGTGGTGCACCCTTCATTTCCTCATAATTTCGTCAAAATAAGAAAAAGCTCATTTGGCAAAAGTGATGAGCAGTAAAAAGCAAACCTTTGCACGGGCCTCACGCGTCGCCTCGGCTTCTGCAGCCATCGCTCTTTGGAGTTGGACAGGAAGACGTACATCTTTTCTACAAACGAAGCAAGTCAAAGGATTGCACATTTACAACAGACGATGCTCGCCGCATTCGCATGATCACCAAGTAAGAGGGTAAAATGGCCTTGGAAACAGGTCACCCACTCGAAATGGAAAGGTGGTTTTCAAAATCAGGTTAAAATGCAGCATTTTGTGCTGATAGCTACATCGCAGATGGAAATGGAGCAACTGAAACAAATAATGTTGGGAACTTTAAATGCATGCTTAACTTCTGAGCTGTTTGGAGCCTAGTTCCATCTGATAGAGCTAATTTAAATGTCAAATCTTTCTTACATTTTGACCACAAATAAAAAAACGCACCAAAACTTGTGTTAAAGAAAAATTTTATAAGAATCGCTTGCTTTTTATTTTCCAGTAAAGATTTTGGGGTTAAGTAAAATCTACTATTCATAAAGATATAGGGATTATGGTAGGCTTTGCGAGGCCGGGTTTAGAAGTCACTCAAAAACAAATAACTGCTTATCAAATTTAACTTTAATGTTTTTAAACATGCTTTTTAAAAGAGAAGGTATTTTTTTGAGAAGCAGCATAAAATGCTTTCCCAACTTTTTGGGCAATTTAATTGCGCTCAAATACCTATCAAGGGAGGATAGCTTTAACAGTGACAGGGCCTAGATTATGGAAGATAATAATCGTATCTTCAAAAATAGCATTATTTACTTTTATGCGCACTTAAAAGGAGTTTAAAATGAGATGGTTAGCCAACGGACTACAAGTCATATTACTACACGAACCACTTCACCGTAGCCCGTATACGGAGGCAGTGGACACTTCCTAATTAATGAGTTGAATAAACGGTGCGAATAATGAAAACAGACAACTCGATTGTGTGAATAGAAATTTTCCACAATCAGGCAAGAATATGTGACGCATATAGGATTCCCGAACTCTCAGTATTCCGGGTTCTGGTGAGACAATTTACAAAAGATGCAACTGTGATACGTTTATATGCTGCTGGTGGGAGAATCCGTAATGGAGGCGTTGAGAGTGAAGTATATCTCCAGCAACAATCTCAGTTTCCTAGTCCTCAGAAAAGCTATTAACAATTGAAGCGACACTAGTCGTGGTCATGAATCATCAGGAAAAGTTCATTATCGAACTATCTATGTTACTTGTATGAAGATGCCAGATGAGTGAACAAACGATACCTCCCCTACCTCCCTACCAGCTGAATAGAAATTAGCTAGATATGACCGGACTGCTCTAGAGTGAAGACAACTTGGCAAGGAGGGACAGATGGCGAACCCTAGTCCCATGAAACTATGGTAAACAACCTTCTTTATTAAATTACTCTGCACTTAATCCAGTGCTCTTACAACTAGCTATGGCCAAACTCGATGGCCGGCACATTTTTCCTTCTCTTAATACAGTTCCCAAACGAGGCAAAACTTCAGATCCAGTGGGGTTGCCAGGAGGAATCATTGACTGTGCAGTCAAGTTTCGTCTCAGATGCATGCATATTCAATGAATGGCACGGTTGGTTCGTGGGTGTTTTTCCTACAGCGCCAACTACGGTGTCATGGCCAACACGCGAGGCTAGCCAAGGGAATCGACGGGGACGACGCTCAAAAGAGGCGAGGGGCTGTGTAATATGTTGACTCTTTGACTTTTCATTTTGGTTACATAAACACTAAATGGCAGGGCCATTGTACTTCCATCCAGTGTCATCTGTGCGTCTTCTTTTATCCTCAGAGTAGTCTCGACGAGCTACACAACTAACTAACTCTATTATCTGCTTTGCAAATGAAAGATTACGCAAAAAGAAATTGGATAAAAAATTGTTACACTTACAGAAAGGAAAGTGGACTTGGCCAGTGAGATTTGGGACAATCACCTTTATTCATGCAAATAAATGAACTTGATGCCTAAAGGCCGGTCTTCATATTCTAACAAAAAATGATTCTCAAAGACAACTAAAATGAGAAGGTAAATAGAAGACCGTTCTTTAAATGTATTTTTATTTCCCAGGAAAATGTCTGGACTTTTTAAATGACTTAGTAACGATATTGAATGTTAAAGTGCTTGAAAGGTAAGATGACTTACATCTCCACCCTTTCCACTTTGATTCCCCAGGCTTCCGTAGCATCATCCAGTACACTCTATAATAAATGCAAAATTTGTTCTAATTTTATAGGTGAGGTGTTTGAAACACATCAGTGGCTTTTTTTACTCTATGTCCAAAATTGTCACTCCCCTCACGCATATTTATCGTGACATCAGTGAGCGAGGATGTCTTAATTTAAAAGGCTTTTGTGCTCCTGCAATCTTATTCTTTCCATGGTTAACCCCTAATCTTAGTGGACTTTCATTAGCTTTCTTTATGCAAGTGATTGCGAGTCTTTTTGTTAGGAAATTGTTCACCATCTGTTGAAAATGCCTAACAGCAAAGTATCACCCGTTTTATGTGCCTTGGCGGTTGTGATCATTTGCATCATATCCATGCAATAATGTGTGTCAAATTATGGAAAATATAACCTATTGTAGTTTACATTCAAACCAAATTTCGAGTATAAAATTGAGAAACCATCATTTTAAAAGTAGGAAATGCCCTACTAATTTTGCAAACTTTTTTGGTGAAAAATAACGAGAAACGTTTGAGATCAACTGTCACATGTACGAGGGGAGGAGCGGTTATATCCTTCTTTCCTTCTACCTTATCCCTTCGTTTATCGCATAGCCTTCAGTAGTGGCATTTCCTAAGCTCTGCATCTAATATCTCCTCTGTTTTGAAGATTAATTACAACTTTACCTGCATGGACGAGCTGATAACATCTCTCTCCGAGAGGATCTCAGAGAGTCGCTTCGTGCCAAGTACATTGCGCAGGGTGGTTTGGGCCAAAAGCCGCGTCGAGTGGTGCGCGTTCTCCACATTGGCCACCGAGATCATTGCGTCGAAGACTTTGTAGTAAATAACCGCATCCACCGAGACTGTCACTGAGTCTTTTGTGAGAATCTTTAAGTCAAAATCGTGCAGTAAGTAAGTCCTTGCAGCGCCTTGGATGCAGTGAAAAATAAATTTTCATTGTATTCGTATTTCTTGCTAAGATCAGAGACAGTGACTATCTTTTCGATACAATTCAAGTGTTGCGAAAATCCTTGCACATTACTTAAACCAATGTTATATCAAACCTGAGTATTTCCATAAGATTGTAGCTTCAGGAACTGAGCTGATATGGGATTAGTAGTAATTGAGAAGGCAATAAGGCTTAGAAATACTGTGCAATTCGTAGCTATTTTCAATCCAATTTAATTCGAACTCATTTAACTATCCTGAAATACTTGTATTCCTGGCCTCATTTGTTTTTATTTTACTCTTCAATTAAATAAGCCAAATGTGCTCAATTTATGCGCATCCTCATAAATGTGAGGCTGCATTTACCTTACACGCTTTCTCTACCACTTCTAATGTATCTCACCAATATTAAAGGAACTTGCTAAATGTAAAAAACAAAGGCACCTTTGTTGCTATTTATAACAGGGTACGCAACGCGGAAACCAGCGGTTGTACTCTCCTGAAGTTATTAATTCTAATTAGGAAGAGAAGATCTCGGTATCTCGTAGGCAGTGCAATCAAACATGGTTTTGATTTAAATCTCTTCCAAGCAGCCTCACCAACATTACTAAAAATGCCAATTCTGACTAATGAGACAATTCTCCCACAGCATTTAGGCAAATGCTCATTCAGTTTACTGAAGATGCTCTTATTTACAGTATTACCTTCTGGTAATTAATTAAGAAAGCTTGATTGGTGTTGTAGCAGAATTAGCAAATTTTTAAATTTCCGTCTACAATTTATCAGCGGTTGCATCTTTAAAACCCCAAATAAATTGTGATTTTTAATTAAAAATAATCACTTACTGATGGGACAGGAATTGGTTCTGCATTGGTGCGTCGGAAATGTTTACATATTATATTACACAAAATTATGGAATAAGAATTGCGTACCTAAAAATCTTTTCGTAAATGGAAAGTTTTAACCAGAAATCGACCTTGGACAATGCGCAAATAATTTTGAGTACATTGGCATTTAACGTATTTAAAGAGTGCTAACATGCATGACTAGGGAGTCGGAGTAGTAGATGACAGGCAAGCAGAGCATCTCATTTGAGGTGAATAAGTGTTTACTCGACTTATGACATCCAACGCTATCAGAATCACGGAACGTCGCCTCCAAATGACGTTACTGAGAGTACAATCGTTGTTTTTGGGCTCTACTTCATTTTTGGTTCAGCACTTGTGGGGGACATTCTAAATTCTTTCCACACCTCTTAAACACTAAATAAATCTTCTGGGTGATTAAAAGGCGCTACTTTTGGAGTTTATAGAAGCTTTAATTGTTATTTACGCCAAAATATTCCACAGGATTGCAGTCATCACAACATTTCGAAACGGCGAAATTGCAACCGCACCTCTTAATTGGTCACACACGCCAGTCGTGTAAAAGGCCAGCAAGAGCAGAGAGACGTGAGCATGGATGCTTACCCTTTGCTCAATTAGCAGTACATATTAAAGGTGAATCCTCTGTTTGCTTATGTTGTGCGTTATCACTTGAAGATCCCTTAATTTGGTGTAATTATTTCCTGCACATCCGAAAAAGCGATTGACGAACTGCTCCTCTTTAAATACTCAGTCTAAACCTGTTTTTGATTGCAATTAGTCTCTACTAGCCTTGAAGTTCGAGTAGCTTACTTGGCGACGCTCTTGTGTTCATTTAAAGAGATGGTAAAAGGCTTCTAACTTACTTCTTGAGGCGGAATATCAAACGTAATTGTTCTTAGGTCCACCATGAAGCACTCCTCCACGCAAGGCAGGCACAAAAATATTCCTAAATTGTTAGGTACATAAAAATAAAATAGTTGAACTCCTAAGTACAAAAGCGCAGAATCACATGTCACATTGTATATGCATAATATTTATTTAAATTACAGCCAAAATTCAGGTGATCATATTGTTCAAGCTAGTTGTTTCACTGGGTTTCTTCACAGAGGAAAAAACTTCTCATTCATGGATAATTTTTTTTCGAAGTTTAACATAATTTCGATTCTCTTCATAGAAAGTAGGTATTAATGTAACAATTACCACTTTGCGCTATAATATGTGTCAAATGCTCTAAGCTTTTGCAATTTGGTTTCGCAGCTACTTACGGCTCCGCCTTTGAACTTCCGTTGAGTGACATGGCCTCCGGGCCATGCCAGTGACGTCCAGCCCTTCTGTACGTCGGGAATACACTTTCTGCCCTAGCATTATGACTTCCTTCCTCTTCAAAAAAGACTCTAGGTGTTGCATTGGTGGTGGCGGAAAGAGAACCTGATGCCAAAACACAACTACCATGATTCCCATTGCTTAATTCTCAACCTTAACCTGACGGAAGGAGAGCATGTGCTGAGGATGGACGAATCCGAGAAAACTTATAACCTCACGATCAAATATCTTCCCATTTGCATACAATTTTGACGGCTGACGCGGTTGGCTCCTGTACTTTTTTCCTACTCCATCGACCACGCTGTGATGATCGACGTGCGAGGTTGACGATGCTAAGAAGGAGAGGTGGGCTACGTAGTACTCAAGAATGTTCGTTTACTTTTTTTACGCTTATACTAAAAGCTCTGCTATTGTACTTCTGTTGGGTGGCATAGCCTTCGAGCCATTGCCAGTAGCCCTCATCCCTTCTGCACGTCAGCAATATATTTTCTGCCCAAGTGCAACACCTTCCTCAGTCTCCAGGAAGGACTCAGGGCGCTACATCTTCTGTTTATTACACTATCGCAGCAAAATTTGAATAAAAACAAATCATCTTTACGGAGATTTGTATGAAGAAGCAGGAGAACTGGATGCCACTTTTATCACCTTTCATTTAATGGGTACACTTCAGGACTGGAAAACTGTTGAGTATTTGCGAATGATTTGTAAGTATTTACAGTCTTGATTATTCAAATTGACACCTCTAATCTACAAACTATATATTTAAAACCAAAATTATAGAATCCACTTTCTTTCTTCTACTTCTGTGTCATTTTTATTCGCTAATGTACATTGGGTGTGCGTAAAGGAAAAAATACAGCAATCATTAGCCCATACTCGAGTATTCCTGCTCTTCTTTGTTCTTCTTCTAGTAGCAGTCACGAACAAAAAATCCGAATATTTCCTGTGCATTTGGCTGAAAATGAAGCGAAAGGAGGGCAGTTTGTGGCGTTGCCATGCCAAGAGGCTGTCACTTTGACTGCATTTTCCATGTGAATGATCGCTTCAGCTCTTTTCCTCTCAATATTTTATGCTGGACAGTCCTTTTCAAGGTATTTTAATTTGCCTCGCCTGCACTGTTTAACCCAGGGCAATTAATAATTAAGTAGTTTCCGCTTTTGGGAGGTTATACAGTAAACTTATTCGTGGTGCAAATTTTTCTTACAAATCCGACTTTTTGCCCTGCCTTAGAGTTGCCAGAGGGTGGAGGCTTAACACCAGGCAGTCGAGTTTCTGATAGCCGGCTTATAAATGCTATTTAGTTCCTTTCCTGTAGTGTTGTATTTCATTACAAAGTTTGGAGCCCTATAGAATTTGGGCAAAAGTTAGATTTACCCGATATCATTGAATTCCTTCGTGGTGACTTTCTTTGTACCAGCTTTTGTAACATCGTGGAATTTGAACTGTGGCGCTTGTTTTTTCTGTTTCAATTTACTTGGGTACTTACTCTTGCATAATTTATTCATTCAGTAAGAGATGCAAATTTCTGGTTTGCAATAAATTGAGTGCGAGACAGTCAGTACTTGGGAAAAATTGCTGAAGTCAGAGCAAAAAATTTCATCAACGGTAAAATCTAACTTTCACCCCCTGTCATTTTTGCGTCAGCGATCATAATTTTTGTTGTTTTTAGAGAAAGTTTATACTGCTAGGAGTGAAGTGGAGTGAAATGCACAGGCCTGTGCCACCATTGTAATTTCAACCGGATTTGTGATGAGCGATTGCATTCACTAATATCGCACAATAATTTCACAGGGGCTATTTCCTGACTGAGCGATCAGTAAACTGCATTCTGGCTACAGGCATGCTTAAGACTGAATGCAGAAGTAGTCGAGGCTTGACCACACTTGTGCCGAGATGACATTGGCCAAAACTGTAGCCCATAGGTTTTGTTATTCATATGTACCCCGAATCAGTGCGGGACATTTTATTAAATAAATGCCGAATCTAAGCCTTCGTTTAACTTCCACTAAATTTAAATGGCCATGGGGGACAGGTCTTAAAATAATTGTTTTGGAATTTTACACTTCCTTCGAATCGTTCGGTCTGAATTTCACTGATAATGCAATGATGATACGTCATTTGACACATGCTGGGGCTCTTTCTGAGGCCTGTTAAATTTCGTGTAACATACGAATTGAAATAATCTAAGCAGATACTAAAATAACATGCCAACGCAAATTCTACTTTTAGCAAAAATTTTCGTCATAAGGCAAGCATATTAGGGAGGTAGGAATGGAAAATATTTTATGCACATAACTTGGCAAAGCCCCGACTCACCTGGTCCCTTCATACTACCAGGCATCACACGACCCAGTCGAAAGATTACCGCGCGTTCGTACTCCTGCACAACCTATGAAGCAACGATAACAACCACTTCTTTGTACTAAATCACTTTTCTTCCTGTGCACAACCATCGCAGATTCATCAAAAGGATTGCCTCAGAAATAGAACTACCGCTTATGCTGAATGCATTCTTGTCCTAAATAGTAAGATAATTTATGGACCGGATAATCCTTCATCAGTAACAAGAAGCGCTGCCTAATCGGTGTAAAACTCACTGAAATTTTGTTTTCGTGTACAATGTATCCATATTTAATTTTTTCAGTAAATAAGCTAATTCCATTGGGAGCTTCTTCATCTCTCCACAATCGTTTTACATCAAACCGGTACAATATTTAACTGCTCTGATACCTAAGTAATCTCATTGGCGGTATTATTTATTTTCACAGGCTAAATTAATTTGGATTCGATGTTGAGTGAAGCGATTCCATTTTAAGTGTCCGCATTTTGCTAAGCTAAGTAAAATGTTTGTTAATGCCAGTAAATAAAATCATGCATGATTTATCAGTCCTCCGACCACTTTATTACTTAAGCGCTGGGAATGGTAAAGGAATTTTATGCCTTCCATTTACATCTTTACACCACAAAACATGAAAAAATTTTGCAACTCTTAAATAGGGACTTTATATCACATCACAAGCAACACCCCTTGCAGTTCTGAATTCCGTAATTTTTTGGCTTAGTTACTTTAATTTACTGGAACATTTGAAATGTCGGAATATTTTCCCATCTACCTCATGTACGACTTTTTTATTAAGCTGTATTTTTAATTAAATCTCCCTCTTATTTACCATTCCGTGGAAAGCTTAAAAGTACCACTTTATTTTTAGTTTTATTTTAAACAGAACATACAAGAATGTTGCTGTTCACTTAATGTAAGCAAGCTCAAGCATAAAACCAATGGTAGCTTCCAAAATTTTTCGCCATAATCTCGAAGATTCCAAGCAAAAATGGTGATGATTTGTTTAAGATCATTTTCCACGTAGATCATTTTACAATTTTAACAGTTTCTCTGTGTTAAAACAACTTTTTTGCAGTCATCTGAATTCAAAGCATTTAATCATGAAGTTATAGCAAGCTGCGCCAGTTTTTAGCCAACTCCTTTTTCGCTGGATGCATGTATTTTGCTGCTCTAGGGTAGGGCTCACCTTTAGACAGATGAAAACTGACACAGGGAGGAATAGAACGAAGACTGTGTAGGAGAGGAAGTATAGAATGTGTTCGCAGACTCCAGATAGTGCCCTGTTTCCGGTTGACATTTCCTGTGACAACACGAAGACACTGAATTGTTCAAAGCAAGTTACACCACTAATCTTGCTAAATCAAAGCATGCGCGAAAATTAAAAAAAATGTGGTTTCTTGAAATTTGTTTAGGCGTAAGCCATTTAAATTGGTTACAGAGTATAGAACGTCTAAACAGCTAAACGATGAAGACTTTTTAAAGAAGCATTTTAGACATGACGCGGGAAGTGTGGATTCAGGCTTCAAAATGGGCTTAATCTAATAGTTAGTATTCTGCAACCAAATGGCCACATCTGCCTCCGTATACGCAATGAATGAACGCAGTATTCAGTTGCAAAATTCCTTGCAAACGTACGATGTCTTGATGGTTGTTGGCTTTTTGTGGACCTAACAGCGAAAGTATGTAGTGGTAAGTAAGGCATGACATTATTGGGAGTACTCGCTATGATTGTGCAAAACGCTTCTTCAGCAATCCTTTGTTGATGTTAAAATATGGTTTTTTCAACTCCTGCTTAGGTTGTTTAATTAACTGGGCCAAAACATGGCAAAACAATGCAAGTTCTTCTATTACTCAAGTTCCTTTCTTTGCCAAGTATGATTACGCACGGTTGCTTAACCAAAAACATTCCTTGCACAATGGCACGAAGCAAGACTCCTTTTCGGTGAATTCAGTGGACGTGAATAAACGATGCGCCGGAAGGTGAAACAATTTGCTTGATTATAACGATGTGTTATATTGTCCATTCTAATCAAGCGTTGGGGTTCCAAGCCGGTCAATTGGAAGAGCAACACAAAGCACAGCTGAATGCTTCTACATGTATACCACATACAAGCATGTGTTTTAGTATTTCGTGATTTCTTCCCATTACATATGCAAGTGGAAAGTAGGCTAGGTGAATTAATGCGTTAAATGTAAGCGAGATTGTTGGAACATCGTAAAAGTCCATTATTAATTGATGGAGAACATGGCCGACCTTGGGATGTGGACATCCAGTCCCAAAAAATTCACGTCTCTCTGAAGTAATGAAATTGGTTCGATGATACAATCTTAGAAAGTAGGCCTATGTTTCCCTTTTATCACTTTCCAATTGTGGATTATAGCTCCTAGATAAATAACATTAAATAATAAAAGTTTTACTGTTAGTAATAAAGGAAATGTTTTTTTTTATTTTCCCGCCTCAGAATGTTTGCTGTGTTGATTTACGATTGGAGGACGTGCATTTATCGTTTTGATTCAATCAGTGGATTGGCCACAGACCATTCATTTTGGTGGAAGATCTGGACCGGCTAATCAGTGTTGTAAAAAGTAAAAAAATTACAGTTACAAAATTTCTCCTGAAAGTGCTCCCTATATTGTGTAGTTATAAAGTCAGTCAGAAATAATATGTTGAGAGAAATTTTCACCACAATTTTAACCGTGACATGGATGTATAGCATCTTTCCACAAACTATCAAAAGATAATTACTGACGCTTAGAGTGTTTATGATTCTTTGAATGATACTAAGATTCGCATAAAGCGACTTTATTTTCTGGCTCCAGCGGTTTTACCACAAAACTTAGGTTCCATTATTCTTTATTTTTTTGAAAGTCCACTTTCTTGTGGTTGATTGCCTGACAATTTAACCATTAAGAAATAGGTTTGTAGGAGGTTTCCAAATACCTTCTTTAATTGTAAAAAGAGTATGGTTTGTTTATTAAAAACTGTATCCAAGCCCATTTACTTGTCAAATGGGTGAATTAGTCAGTGAATGTTGTGCTGCCTTCGCTCAAAGCCAACATGTTCCAGTTGTAACATCAAAGTCGCTAAACTTGGTCAGCCAAAATGAGCCATTTTTTAATCTGTTTTAATGGGATTAAAAAGATGAAACGCGGACTGTTAACTCTGACCCTGCCCATAAAGGTCCAGTCGGAATTTATGTGGTCTTCAACAAAAAGTGTCCATCCCATGCTCCAAGGATTTTACCTAAACAACATGCATAATCATAAATAATAATGAAAGGCCTTTATGCAGTAAAGGCGGGAGCAATCCGGAAATTCCTGTATATTTTATGGCTACTATTTTTGCATGACATCTTCTTATCTAAGAAATAATTAATGCCACTGGGTTAAGTAAAAGTGTAACGAATTGAACTGGGAGGGGAATGTCTACAGTCAAAGGCAAGGTGGTGAACAAAAATGTATTCTAAAGCTACTTCGGTTTTTTCACATAAAGAGAAAAATTTTACAATATAAAAACACGCCATCTGGAGTTAATTAGTCTAGAATCGCAATGATGTTGGTAAATATTTCAAGAAATAAAGTGGCATCATTGAGCGGGTTTCACCGGATTTCCAAAGCCAAACCCAAGCCAGGAGTCCCCCCATCTAAGTGTTTGCTTTATGATTAATGACTGCAATCCATTCCTAGCTACGCCTCCTCGGTGTTCAACTTTACCCCCCTGTAAAGGTGTCAGCTCCCGCAATCAACCCTTTACACAAATCATTTCATGTGATATAAAATGCGAATATAGGTAGTAAGAAATAAATCAAGCCAATGCATATTATCCCGCGCTATTCATTAAATCTCCAACATCTCTAATTATAGCCCCTTAACATTTAAGGGTAATTTAGACCTGGTCTGCAAAAAAATTTGATCCACAAGGGATAACAGATGGCATTTTGGCTACTCGAAGAGGGGAACAGTGATGAAATCATTTATTGCCAAATTCCTCATCTCAAAGTTGCCCATTACATAATTTAGGGAGAAATGAGGAGCTTGACTGACTCGCTCTGCATTAGCAGCTACCCGTTGTTGTTAATACTTAGTTATTATAAAAAACCGACTGCTGAAACGTCTGAAAGTTTTTATGCAGAAGAATAACTGAGTACGCGCAAAAAGATGACGTTCCGTCTTAATGGAGGAAGTAAATATTCCTTCCCGTATGCAATTTGCCACGGTGGAAATCGCTTATTTACGCAACTGTCAAGGTCTGTATTAATACCGAGTGACCTCTTAAAACTGAGCAGTGATAAGAGAAATAATATGGAGCATCTTTTATATTTTGAGTGAATTATTCCATTAATCTTTAATAAAGCGAACCAGCTGCAGCGATCAACAGTTTTCGAGTACTCAACTGGTCTTCTAACATAGCTACTTAGTTTTAATAAATGATAAATCAAAATTAAGTCAAAAATTAACCGTGGCTCAATATTTTGGGGTTATAGTGGTGAATACTTCCCTTTGTGGAAAATAACTAAGCTTGCATCAAACTGACTATTTCTAAGTGTTGTGCATTTTGAAACATTTATTAAAGTCTTATCTGATGTACTGATAATGTAATGGTGTAATGTGTATGCTTTACCACGAAATAAATTGCCTATTTGAAATCCTGTATAATACCTTAAAAAAGGCATAAAAATGTCGGTATGCATACGCTACAGGTTTTGAAGGGTGAAATAACGCATTTTACATATTTATTTTAGGTCTCAATTCATAATTTTTCAAAAAGTATTTTTTTTTCTTTCAGTTGTTCAAACGCCATTTTGTCAATGCTCTACTTCATGAAGAAATTGGTCGAGCAAAAGTATAGTTGCTCCTTCACGAAATGAATAATTCATTCCGGTTGGTATCTTCATATTCCAAAAAAAATGTGGAGATACTTTTTTCCATTGGGTGCAACAGGCCAATGAAAATTTACTCTCGAAATGGGCACCACCATCACGGAAATATCCGCTGCGGGCTGAGTAAAAATATGTACATGGAAGACGATCTGGAGTGTTTGACATATCTACGGTTAGGCATACAAAAATAGTACAGGTAGTCTTATAAATAGTCAATTTCAAAAGCCATTTGATTTTTAGAACTCAATTAGCTAACCCACAAATTATCCAAAGTATCTCTGAAAAGCGGCATGTCAATGGTTGCCTCAATTGGGAGCTAGGTACGATCATTTGGAAGTGCCTTCCCTCTTACCGATGGTTGATGAACCAACTTGTTCTAAAAAGAAGCTTTATCAAGCACTGTCACTTCTAGTATGATGTCTCAGATATGCGTACTCCTGCCAAAGTCAAACTATCTAATCGACCATGGCAAATGTGCAAATTCTTTTGACGATGTTATTCTTCCAAAGGATCCTATGCCAATTTGACACCAGTCCCAGAGGAGAAACAAGCGGCTCATGATTTAGTTACGCTTACTGCACACATCAAAATCAAATAAATATTAAGCTGATCCCAATTTTTTTACGAAATGTGAGGCATCAATTGGGGCTATAACTTAATAAAGTGAAATTTTCCTTGTTGATTGTCCAAAGTCGAAAAAAGGAGTAGATGCCGCATAAATTTATGCATAAAAGGCCTTAAACGTACGTGGAAAGTTAGAAGTAATTTCTGCTGCGACTTAGTTCCATAATTAAGTTCTTTAGGGCGGTGTGGGATGATTGAGGAGGGGATGTTCAGTGCTAAAAGTATTTCACTCCTCGGAGATCCAATCACCGCGGCCGAAGTCACACGGGATTTTTTAATTGGTCAATATGAGTGGCTGCGCACATGAAGGGGTTAAGTGAATGATTTGTGCATACGATGACTGATTCCTCCCCTTTCCTACGAATCTCTTATCCTCTAGGTCACTACGACTCGGCTGCTTTGAAAATACCATTCCAATTTCGGTTCATTCATCATGTTAGTTAAATTTGTAAAAAAAAACGGGCCATTGCCGTAAATGACTCTATCGCAAGCCTGTTGGAGGGGTTCCACGTCAATTATAATACACATATTAATGGGTTGCAGATGTAACAAATGCGATGACGATTTAGTGAATATAAACTTCCCACAAAATACGGTTTCAAAGAATCATTTCTCATATTACGTCCGCGCGTTCAGCATATTTATCGCACTCTTTTTTAGGGTTTTTAGTTGACACCGATGTAGTCCTTTAAGAGTACCTTAGAGACGAAGGAAGACATAACAATAGGGTAGAATATATGTATATTTGACATACCGAACGATTTGGGGGCTACTGGCATGATCCAGTGGCCAGGCCACCCGGAGATTGTGCAATGGCGGAGGCCCTAACAAACAATTGAAGAATTGCAACCGCTTTGTATAACTTTTACTGGCAAATTGAAGGATATAATGTTCAACCAAAATTGGATTTTTTCAAAAATAACCGGAAAAAGATTAAATGAAAATCCCCACACTTGGTTTAAATAGTTCTGTTCTACTGCAAATTCATGGGATTATATGATAATTTTCCTATTAAATAATGTTTTATTCACGGTGTAGTTCACATTCCTTTACTTTGTGTGCCAAGACAATCCATTAAGTAAGCAATGTTTATGCTAGCGCTTTCTAATGCGGCCCATTAATTATGTTTGGAGATGGTATTGGTGTTAATAAATAAAGGGCAAAAAGAACTTTTGTTCAACCCATTTGAGGAGTAAGTACTAATTAGCGGTTTCGAGATGTGTTCGACTTTGTTCTTTTTTCTCCTGCGGAATAAGTTCGCAATAGACTAAAAGTCTCCTGTTTATTTCTCTCTAGCCTGAAATGGTCGCAGGCAGAACTCTATTGACCTCCATACAACGGGAATTTTGTAGCCACTATTCCCGTTTCTTTCACTAGGTAAAAGCCATTTTAGTATTCATACTCGTTCTACATTTAGATTCTGGTAAGGACACTAGACATGTAGCAGTACTTAGCAGAAGAGGCAGGAAATTTTGAAGGAAGATTAATATTTATCTCAGCTTGTGAGGCCTCGGTTCTTAGCAAGCCGGTGCAATAATTTCCAAACAAATGCATCCACCTTCTAGATTTAGATAACCTGCAAAGTAGTCGTTTTTGCCTTTAATGACCCCAGGTTTAAGATTTTATAAACAAATTAAATGTTCCATTTTGGCAAAGTCAAATTAACCGCCGGACCCCGGTAGGGTTAATTAAGCAGTGGTCCGTAAAAGTAATGGTCAAGGAATTATGTCGGTATATTGCAGAAACCAATTCTTTGGATGCTGGATAATGCTTGTAATGCCTTATATGTTTTTTTTTTAGGTCCTGGTTTTGGTAACAGGCCCACTGAGGGCCTTCGCCATTATACCTTCTCCCAGTGGCCTAGCCTCCAGCCCATGCCAGTCAACAATGCATACGCTTCCCGAGTATTGTGTCTTCTTGCGTCTTCAGGGAAGTCGCGAGACGCTACAATGCCAAATGTACTTCTTTTGTAAACGGCGCAAAACCCACATCTAGTTCATTCATTATGTCTCATTTCGCTGGAGAAAAATTCTATCAAATAGATTGTGTATACCAAATACTTTCTTCCAATTTTAGAAGGCGGGTTTCGCCAATAACAAGCACCACAACCATTTTATCAGGGGTTTATTATTAATCTGTACTTATATGGCATGAAATATATTTTAGGTTGCTGTAGAACACGAGGTGGCTTATTTGTGCTGTTTTACATCTTGTGGGCGTTTATTTTAACAAATATGGGGCTCGCTATACAGCTTTTGGATGGGATGAGGGACAATGCTGGGGTTGTGATAAAGCAGAATGTTGCCAGGTCATTCGTACACTAATTAGTATACTCTTACCCCCTTAATGTAGTTGCTACCATGGATGAAAAAAGCGCCAACTTTTAACTCTTGTGCCTCTCCGCCTTTCCAAAGAACTATGTTAACAAGTTCGGTCATTCCCTTCGCAGACAAAATAGCGCCATGACCAAAGCAGCGATCTCAATCCTTTGATTTGAACTTCCATTTTTATGAAACAGGTGGGTGATTTTTTTCATAAAAAACAGCATTGAGAAACGGATTAACTGTATTATGCCTTGATTTTTGGATTCCGTTGATTTTTTTGTGATATACACGTTTAAACGCAGCGTTTAGTGCTCTACACTGAATTTATCTAGTCAGTCAGGATTAGCCCTAATAAAGCTGGCCACACGCTTGAAGTATGGCCCCGACTGTTCCCATCCTATTTGACTTTATCTCTATTATAAGATGTATATGCAGTATTTAATCATTCTTTCAGCACAAATACAATTATTCTAATGCATTTTGCACCTGGATTTGTAAAATAAAATTATGTGAGTTTGCTTCTTTTAATGAATAAATTAAAAGGCTTTACTCTACACTGCAACTCATCGATCCTGAAATTATGCTTTAGGACAAATAGACTTCATTACGAGTTTTTCACGGAATTTTGCAAATCAGATGGAGTACTTTGGGCTGACATTCTTCTACCCGGCATCGTACGAAACTCTCAAAAGTGAGAGAAGACGATACTAGTGCAGAATATGTATTGGGGACCTATGGAAGAGGTGAGGTGCTAATGGCATGTCCCGGAGGAAGTACGATGGCGGGGGCCCTAAGTAGCCCGGAACCAAGACCGAGAGTTGAGTAAACACTCCATGTATGGCAACACGACTACTTGTTGAACTATTAATCGTATCAAAAACATTAAATAAAATGTTTATCCGCCACATATTTGGTAGGTGAAGTCCGGTGTTAAACTAATGCTTCTTTGATATATGACAGGTAAAAAGATGTCTACATATTCATTTGCTATCGTCCTTTGCAATGTTGACCTTCGAAATTGAACCTATGTAAACATTTTTTGTTCCAAAACGAAAACCTTTGCAAACAGTCACTTACATGAGTTTCTCCCATATCCTTACGTTTTCGCAATTTATCCACAAATACGTCAAGACGCTCACTTCATTCTGTTAGAGAACAGCCTGAGGCTACATTATATTTAAATGAAATTTTTATACATCACAAGAGAAGGTAACAAATGTTGTGGTCTTATGATGTCTGTGCTCGAGGCGCTTATTAGTGGCAAGTGTCCGACCTTATTTTGCTAAAGAAACAACTATTACCAATTTACTTATTAGCCTATTTCATTGGAAGTGAGGTGTGGTATTGCTCATCATCTCTACAGCATTTCACCTTTTCGGTGTTAAACTTACGAAGGCTAAGCTGCTATAAAGGTGAAAATATGAATTGGCTACTTTTAGATGAACTTCCCTTATCTATCCCATGCAATGAGAATCACAAGCCATGATCGCAAAACAGTATTTTAGGAATTTAGTTCAGGAATATGGTGCTGATCAAAAGTTTCAGTCACTGGGAAAAACAAGCACAGCTCTGAAACAGCTTTTATTTGCTAAAACTGTGGTCCGTGCGCTGCTTTAGTTCACTTTTTGGGTCACAGGGTGGTCATTGTGACAGACCTACTGCTTCCATCGACAGTGCCCCTTTTCCAGGGTTAGGGACCCTAAATTTCTCATAAACACTGATAGATTGTCAGTGCACTATTATTTCTGCATGCAACTTCGAATCTAAGGTGAGGTTTCTACAGTACGATTTGGGGGTTTTTCCAAAAATTCTCGAGTTCCTGAATTACATCAGTTCGGATGCTACATTCTAATTTAAAATTTTTCTGCTCTAAAAACCCTAACCGGTTTTTTACACATAATTAAAGACTGGAGCACTTTTAGGCAACTGTAATCTTCATATGATACCCTCACAATCTGCAGTCTCCTTTACGTAACCCAAAATAATTGTACGAAATATAATCCTGCTTAAATACTTTTAAGTGAATTGTAACGCTACAAATAAGCGTTTTAACTATTTATCAAAATTATGGCCCATGTTTATGTTCTTTTTATTTTCTTTTTATTATGGATAGTTAAAAGGCTAAAATTCAATTACCATTTTACCATTCATATGATTTACTTATAAATGGGCTTTAAACACAAACGTGGAACACCGATATCTTGTCTCGAACTTTGTGTCACTAAGTTCAGCGAGGGGGTTTTCCAAAGTTCTTGTTTTATTCAAACCGACTTTATGTGTGGTTGGGCTATTTCGGAACAAATTTTGGCATAATTAATGTTGCGTTAATTTCATTTAATCACGTCATTAATCATCTTGACCACATCTTACTAGGAAAGGAAAGAATTAAAACTTCAAATGGTCGCAAAGCCATGTCCACAACCCTTTTTAAGGAACAGGACCATTTTTGCTGTCTCCATCAACACTGTTTGCCTTGGTCTTTAAAATAGACCGTTCAACTACCTGACAACAAACTTTCCACGTCCGTTCAAGGGAACTTTTATGGGTAATCCGGCGAGCATGTTTGGGAGTCCGTGAGATACGATTCAAAGACAACAGGCAGTAGATGACCTAAGTAATTCCCTAAATTATTAAATCTATCAAGCAGTTTAATTTTACCAATTTGTAATATTTTAAACACTACACTTGTAAAGTCCCCCTCTAGGCACTAACACTAAGCGTGTCTTACTGTAACGGACGTTAAGTTCGTTTTCCCCATTCGATAAACTGCGTGATTTTAATCGCTGTATAATAATTCACCACCCGCTTAGTACTAAGGCGCGATGGCGATCTCTGCCCGAGATCGGCCACGCGTATTCAGGTGGGCTGGTACACACCTCACCCGCATCCATCACACCTTGGAGAATAATTTGCGCAGTGAGTCAAACCGGGTCACACGTCCGTCAACACACTGAAGAGTGATTTATGTCAAACCCTTGATGTTCATCGAGTGAAAGATTGGAGAAAGAAAAACTACTAAGATTTAGTTTGTGCAATTTCTGACTTTAACACTTCTATTCAACCCACCGTTTACTTCTATTGTTGTTTTTCTGCACTAGAATGCTTTCCCCTCTGTTGGGTTCACAACTACTGGAAAATGCTTGTCTTTTAGAAATGAGCCTTGTAGCAGACGAGTGACATTACTTATCTAGATGACCGTATGTTTGAACAACTCCTCGTGAAGAAGTTTTAGTTGTCTCTTCTTTGATAAAATGTGTCTGATTTTTTACCAAAGCAATATAATATTAGATGTGTTGGTTTCCTCGTGATGCGGAATTATTTATTAGTTAACATAAGGCGAATTTTTTTGCACAAATAATATGCTTTTTTAAAAAACAAGGACATTAAGGGAGACTGAGAATTGCTCTACTATTTATCATTGTCAGAGAGTGAAGTGTAGGATCTTCCGCTTCTCACTACTCTTGAGGAAGTTTACGAAAAGGTGTGTATTTTACAGGTTACTCTAATACTTTTTTTAAGAGTTCTGAAACTTTGTTTGTACAGAATTTATGCAATAAACCCGAAAATGTCGGTCTATTCGGCTTTTTAGATTGGCACACAAACCAATGATGAGTGTTGCAGTTTGTGCGATTTGATGCATTTTGGACTGTTATGAGGAAATTTTTCAAGGAAATGAGTCAAAATTATAAATTAACAAAATCCATTCATGACTTACAAGCTGGTGTTGCAGGCGAATTTGAGATTTTAAATTGCTTCTTAATGAATGAACCATGTAAAAGTTTGTACAAAATCCACAAACAAATGGTAGTCAGCTAAAATACAAACAATTACACAAACCCGTTTAAGGTATCCTTGTGGAGCTCTGATTGCTTACTACATAATTCAACATTTGAAATGCAAGGCTATTTTCTGCCTGCCATGAAGAGACCCCTTTCCATTAAAGTGCTTTTTTACTTTCACCACTTTAATAAATATTGCGTTGCCTATTCCGGTTGGCCTCGACTGAAGACAATTCAAAGCAGATTTTAAATCGCCTTTTGAATTCACACCACCCTCAGTGAGATAATGCGTCGTATTGTTCTGCGTCGCTACATAGACTTGGAAGTGGCTTAAAGGCTTACATGTTTTTAAGGGAATACGGAATAAGTACCCTCTTTTGGTTCCCATAGTAAGGCGTGGTTGTTTAAAGGCGACCACTACCACCATAGCTTACTTGGATTCTGCATCGCTTTGTCAAAAATTCAAAATATTAATTCGCTTCGCGAACTTCCTTCAAATCCCGTTTCTGGCATCTTATGCGCCTCAATATACCGTGCAGAGAATCGCTGTAATTAAGTAAGTCCAGTGATTTGTAAAATAGGTACCTTTCCCGATTTTTATGCATCGCCGGTGTAGAGAAGGGCTGGGGACTACTGCCATCGCCCTGAGGCCGTGCTGTCCGGTAAAAGTACAATCGCGAAGCTTTCAGTACCCTTGAAACCAAAACGAAGACTTAAACATGCAATATGCTTAGCACTCTGCTGCATTAATGTAAGATTTTATGTTAATGTTTGTGTTAGGGCAAGTGGTGTTTCAAAAACCTTGCCCCACTAAAGTGACTTCTTTTGGGTTGATTAATGGGAATAGCGCTAACTTGAGTAAGTTTTGATAGATGCTATCCAGTACCATGCAGAACATAATTCCTTTATTCAAAAATTACTCAACAATGGCATGAATTTGATGCTACTTTTTCATGGTTGAGTAGACCGCTGGTGCTTTGAGGATTTTGCAATTTGCGAATCATCTAGAAGAGGCTACCAAACGGCAATATCTCCAAACCGTTGCGTTTATAGACACAAAAAAATTTCTCAAGTGTACTTAACGACTGTTTCTTGTTTACTGGGATTAAACTGCTTATTCGCTGGTCGCGTGACGCGTACCATTAACCGCTCCAAACCTTTTGCTGTTGCCGATTCCACACTCCCATTTCACCGCATTGCCGTTCACTTTTCTCAACTACCTAAGATAAGTAGGTGAATTTGGGAATGTGCAATGCACTTTTTTTTGAAAAAATACGCATACTTGTGGATGGGACCGAAATAGCGCCGCGGCGAAAGCCGCTCCTCTTGCCAGAATAATGAGCAACGAATTGATACACTTTCCCTAATCTGAAGGGAATTCGTCCATTATTCCAATACTTACATTCTAATTACTAAAACTAACCTGTAATTAAACTTAAAACGATTTATATTATGTGTAACATTTAGTAGTTTTACGGTCGAAAATGGGAATTACAAACTTTAAATGCTGAAATTTGGGCTTGCTTTTCCCAAATGTGGCTGTGGAAACAGCGAGTACTTTTAAATCAGTTGAATATCATTGTGTAGACGAGCCACAAAGTAGTTCTTTTTTGCTATCACTGGATTACGTATTTTAGTACCAGTCAAGGAACAACTTTTTGACCTACCCCCAAAATTATAAGCTTTATGGAGTCATTTTGACAATTATAAATCTATCTTTCTGCAAAAGATGAGAGTTTTGTGTTGGGTGAGAACCTCAATAAAACTAAGCAGTAGTTATTTAATCTACTTCACTTGTAATTTTTGAATAAATGCTGCGCCCTTAGACTTTCCTAAAGATGGAAGAAGATATAATACTCGGGCAGAGGATGTATTGTTGACGTACAGAAGAGA